TCTTTTATTTTTTTAAATTTATCCAATCCCTGATCCATGTTAGTGCTGCTATTTTGTAATAAAGCTCCAAGTCTGGGAGTCCCATACCACCTCTGCTTCTGTCATCCTGTAGAGCTTTCAACTTTATCCTGTCTTTCTTCCCTTGCCATATAAATTTTAATATAATCTTATTCAATTCAGTAAAAAAAATAAATCCTAATTTTATGGGGATAGCTTGAAATAGGTAAAATAGTCTGGGTAGTACATTCATTTTTATCGCTGCTATTTTCCCTAATAACGTTAGTTGTAGTTTCCCCCATAGTTCTAGATCTTTTTTTATTTGTTGCACTAATTTTGTATAATTTATAGTTGAGCACTTTGCAGTTAGCCATATTCCAAGATATTTAACTTTCTTTGTCACTTGCAGTCCTATTATTCTTTCTAATTCTTATTTTGTTCTTCCTTCAAATTTTTAGTTATCATTTTAGTCTTTTCTCTATTAATCTTTAACCCTGCTACATCTCCATATTTTTCTAATTCTTGCATTAAACTGTTTCCTGTTTCTAGCCGATCTTCTATAATGAATACCAAATTTTGGATTGTGCAGATATGGACAAATTAACACTAAAATTAAAGGACAAAGAAGAGTCGGAATATTATGAAATTTGGAACAATTGGTACAAATGGCTGCAAGACAAGAATAAAATTGATTAAACCAAAACACTATATACAGAGAGAGAGAGAGAGAGGGAGAGGGAGAGGGAGAGGGAGAGAGAGAGAGAACTGTGTATAAAGGTTTAAAATAATATTTACATGTACAGGTATGATGACATAATAATGTTGATATAATGACTGTAAGGTGTTGTAGAAGGAAAATAATAATAATTAAAAAAATTCAAAAATAAAATAAAATGATATCTTTGTTATTGCCCCTATTGCTGCAATATAGGTCCCTACTTTTCTTTAGCTAGGATGACCTTCACACTTCCTGGGACTCTGCTGGTGGCTTCATCACCAGCATTGTTTGTTTGGCCCTTCCAGAAACAGCCCCACAATAAAGAAGAATAGCAAGATTTGGGGAAGGGGATTGTTAGTGAAAAATTGCTAATTTGCTTCTCTCAATCACTGAAATATATATTTATGATATATTAACTATTTGAATAACTAGAAAACAAATAAAATATTTTTGTTAGACAATTATTTGAAAATAAATGACTACTGTACATATTTATTTATATTTCATATTTCTCAACCAATTATTTCCATCATATATAAAAGACACCAGGAAACACTGTTAAATTTTTAAATCTTAAAGTTGGCTAAATATTAAAATATTTAAACTATCGAAAAAATAACATCTTTCATACAATTTCATTTTTTCATTAGACATACCTGGAATTTTTACGTGAGCTATTTCTCCATCTCCCCCTTCACTGTGGACCCGAACTTCAACAATGTACTGACCTTTAACTGGTGCAGGAACTTCTATATAGTGATTACCGGTCTTAAAGAGTGTACCATTAAATTGACCATCTGGTCTATAGAGCACCTTTTAGAGAATAATAAAAAATAGCATGGCAAGGTAAGTTCACAAACATCATCCAACAAATTAATTCTCCAGGTCATTATAAAAAAATATCTAGGCAAAATATTTATAAATGCTATCTTGAATCAATATGATATTCCATTTTTTATACATTTTTGTAAATAAAAGTGAAAAGCTTCCACTCCCTTTTTAAGGCTTATATAGAGAACATTAGCAAATTATATTTAAGTAACCTGTATATTTAAATTTTCTGTTGCTTCTATTGTGTAAGCAGAGCATACAAACCGCATTAGCCAATTACTGTTATGAGAAGTAAACAGCAACAGTTCCACACTTCATGTAAGGAATTATATAAGATGAAAGCAATCATGCCCTATCTTCTTTATGGTTCATTCTTTTTCTGTACTCCATTGTTCCTAATGTTTCCTTCTTGCTGAAATGAAGAAAGTACCAAATAGATTTCCTAAGCAATCGCTGCTTAGACACTGCAAGGGATGTCCAACCTTGACAACTTTAAGACCTATGGACTTCAACTCCCAGAATTCCCCAGCCAGCACCCCTGGCCTACACTGATCTCCAGTCTGCTTCCTTTTTTCCCACCACTGAAAAGAAGTGACATGCATGTCATCATATAGAAGATGAATCAGAGCTGAGCATAATAGATACTAATACAAATGTTGATTAATTACTCTTACACTTATTAGTGTAAAAAAATAAGAATTCATAGGTATGTTTATCTGCCTTATAGCTTATTTTTATATCTTGTCAAGGGCTCATGTTCAATGTTCCCTCTAATTTTTTTTCAGTGTGAGCAGAAAAGTATAGTGTTTGAGCGGCATATTTTCATGCCTGAG